TGGAATACTGGAGTTGCCAATGCCAAAATCAACTTGTGAGCTGGCACCTTTTCAATTAATTTTCTCACATTTCTACGATTGCTTTTCTTTTCGTAAAACAAAAAGTTGACATCCGACATTTTCTCATTCAAGTAAAGAGCATCACAAACCTTTTCACGCAAATGAAGTTCGTACAGATTTCCCTTTCGCTTTTTGGCGGGACCAGGTTGGTCGGTGTTTGTGGCCATTTTTCGATTAATATTCGGATGGAATCGGATTAGACGCTGTAAAGAGGATTGAAATGAAATTTATTCCAGAATCAATCGATAACTATTTATTCATTCGACAGACAGCAAATGTACGTTTATGAAATACATTTTTAGAAGAATGGTCTTTATTCAATGACACACTACAAGAGCTCTATTCATGTTGTTTAATACACAATTCAATCACGCAATGTTTCTTTTGAAGCAATCAATAAAAGAAAGAAATTTATATTATTTGGTTGTTTATGGAAAAAATTACTTCTTTTAAACGCAGCAGTGTACGATCGTGAAACACCAACTAGTGCAAAGGTTTGACGCTATTTCTCTGCAAGTGTGTGTTTATTAGGGAGCATAGACGCCATATTGAATTTTTTCCCAAGAATTGTATAAAAAAAAGATTATCTTAAAAATGCCATTGCACGACTTGTTGAACATTTTTGGGAGCCGAATTTAATGCAAATATATGTTGTAGAGGAGAAACAATAAAATTTCGTCGGATTTACTTTTCAATCGATATTTTTTACTCACCTGAGTGTGTTGGGGTACGACCACGAATGGATGTTAATTATGGAAAATGTTGCTGCTTACGAAATTCGTCAAGAAATTGAGACTTTTTATATAAACCAAGCTTTGATTTTATCAAAAAATTGGTTTAATTGCGAATGATTGTACTGAAAATACTTTATTTTAATGCTCAAAGATGGATTATGAACCAAAAACTCTGTTCCTCTGAAGACCAAATATGATGATGCGATACCAGACGTATGGTGCAATAGTCGCTTGTTATTCGAATAATGTTTGACACTAAGGACGATGCATTGTGCGCCATCTTCGACCACACAGAGAACTGTCAAACTGACTACAAATGTGTTTCACGCAAAAATTCGAAGAATGAGAAAAGTTTCAAAACAAAATAACATTCACTAGAATGAAACTTTATAATTGTCAATTAAGTTCATTTTACCGAATTAAAATAGTGTTTAATACAGGTGTGGCAGTAACCGACAGGATATTATTATTAATTAACTAATCTTGATGCACTTTTTTATCGTTAATGGAATCACGAAACCAACAGAAATCAATCGGTGGTACATTTATACATTTTTGATTCAAAATAAGGTAAATGATGAGAAATCAAAAAAAATTCAGACCTCCTTACCTTTCTTTTTCTTTATACAAGTAGCTCATCAATCAATTTGAAATTCTATATGTGCTTTCTGGTCAGTGATGGTTTTTTCCTATCTGAATAGCGCTAGCTATTCGCAGCGCCTGTACAGCATTGCTGCCCAGATGCTGAATCGTAGCGGTTGCCGCACGCGCAACACACTTCGTTTGTACCACACAGAGCATATACGTTCGCGTTCATTCTCTGTTCGACATGCGTTTGTTACTGACTATGGTATTAGTGTATCATACTCTGTGAGCTCACTGGTTACTTAAACTATATGACAATATGTTGTGTGGTACAAAACGCGTGCGGCAACCGCTTCGATTCAGCATCTGGGCAGCAATGCTGTTCAAACACTGCGAATAGCTAGCGCTATTCAGATAGGAAAAAACCATCACTGAAAAGTAGTTAATTTTGTTTTTTTTTCACAAATAAACAAAGAAGAACAAGATCATTTAAATCAATGTAATTGTGGATTTATTTAACTTCTTGTTTGATACAAAAATGTATGAAATATTGTCTTGAACTAACGCTAACAAAATGCGTAATTATTTAAACTTTTAGTTTTGTTTTGTTCATTGTTGATGTGAAGTTTAATATGAAAGTAAATTTTTACGTTTTTTCGTAAAGGAAATCAACTTGAACTTCAACAAATGTTATAGCTGTTCGACCGTTACTGTCCCACCTAAAAGTCGATTAACTCCAAGCCAAAACTCATATGAACGCTATTTAAATATATATGTTTAAATTTAATGATTAAACCATTCATTGATGGTACTTCGCCAAGATCCCATTTGGAAGTAAGGAGGTTTACAGTGGTTGATGTAACTTCCAAACAAATTTCGTATGAATTGCTTGGATTGATTATGATTGGTGTCGGTAGCTTTACATATCCTTCTGCATTGCAAACAAAATTCTTATCCTCTTCAAATAGAATGGTTCCAGCTTCGGTAGCAAATGAATGGCCTTTTATTTCCACAACTGTGGCTTTAGCACTAAAGGATCTTTCACCCCATACGTTCGGAATATATATTCCGCCAAGCAACGTCATCTTATTCGATGTAAAGAAAACAGATTCAAGGAATTGAATTTGAAAAGCGACACGTTTTAGTGGTTTGGGTTTACACCTCCAAACTTTGCTTTCGTCCCAAAAACGTCGTGGTACTTGATTGAATTTCTTCGAAAAAAATCCATTCAATGTTATAGAACCCATTACATCACACAATTCATCAGCTGTAAACATGCCTTTACACTTGAGCGTGGCTTCCGAAAATTCCTGAATTCTCATTGTTCCAAATCGAATCAAGAACAAACACTTGCCCAGTTGGTTTCGCAAATTCGATCCATCATTTTCGTCTAAGCCATTTTGTTGACATGCATTCTTTGCCCAGGCCAAACAGCGATCAAATACAATTGATTCTTTACAATGAAGGTCCATTTTCAGAATTTCACGCAACGATTTTTGACTGCAAGAGAGAAATTCATCCGATTTTAGTAATGTTTCAGCATTCGAAGTGATGTGTTCATCACAAATTTGCTTCAATTGTTGGCGCTCGTGCAGTATGGCCAATTCATAGACCCAACAAACGTTAGTTGTTGTTAAATTGTCAGTCAGATATTTGGTACATGCATCCATGCATTCGGCGACCATGTATTTATTGGCCAAATACATGACTTCAGGGATGTTTTCCATTGTGAATGTAATAGTGCCGAGGTAAAAACACTGCAAAAATTCTTTGAACGCCCCTGGCGATGAATCGACGATTTCCACGTCACCTTTTTCCTTGATTGAACCGAAGAATTCTGCATGGAA